GTAAGAATGATTTTGCAACCTACAACCTTAAAGAATTACCTCTATTTAGCCCTTATAGTGACAGCCAGATAAAGCAAAATATTGATAGTTAGAAGGTAGACAGAAACTTTTTCCTTCAGATAAAAGAAAATTAATTTTACAACTGCAACACCTTAAGAATACCAGGGATTATAACCACAAATTGCAACTGCTTGCCGCTAAGTCAGAGGATGGTGGGGGAGCTTGCAAGGGCCCTAAAAGGCACAAGTAGACCTGTCTTCGGCTCCTGCTACTACCGCCCCCCTGCTGCTTGCCGGAGGAGAAAAAATGCTGGTGGGGCCCAAGAGCGCGGCCTCCTTCTCGCCGCCGTCGCTGCCGCCGCCGCCGCCCAACAGGGCTTGTTGGGGCCTTTTATAGGCCCGAAGCTTCTTCCGGCCGCTTGGCCGCCGCTTGCCAGGGGAGGGAGGGTGCTGGTGGGGCCGTAGAGCACGGCCTCCTTCTCACCGCCGCTGCCGCCACCCATTTTGCTATCATATTTTTTATTTCTTCTAGAAAATTTGATTGTTCATTTTCTTTGCTTGTCAATTCTATTGATGGCCTTCTGGACATCTTGGTTTGTTATCTAGTATAATATGTTGAGACAGTGTCCCAGGGAAAATGTTCAATGTGGTTTGATACAAAAGTGACCAGGTATGAAAGGTTCACAGGCAGCCATAATGACAAAGCACTTTTCACCAGGTGCTGAGTCGCTGGCAAGCACTCCAATGATGTCCTTCCAGCTCAGTGTCCAGACACGTGTGGCATCTCTTCTGGTGCCCCTTATGCCCACTCTGGAAGGAGCGCTATTTTAGTGCTCCTCCCAGGGTCAGAGAAGAAGTAGATTGGGGCCGAGGTGTGGGGCAGCCTCAGCCCCAATCCACCGCTTCTCAAGATGGCCCATGGTCACCTTTCTGCATCCTCCCTTAGTTGGAGTATTTTATGATGTGAAGAAGAATTCCAGTATATTGTAGACAATAAAAATTTCTCATGACCACTTATGTGGGCATAGAATCAAGGTTATTCCACCACATCCACACAGTTAGAACTAGGAAATACATGTTCACACTAGGTGGCATTTTTGTTGTGAATAACTGACAGACCTTTTTGCAAAAATAAAAAAGTATCCAATTTCTCTCTCTTAGAATACTATTATTTTTGTCTATACTCTCTTCCACCCCCTCTGAATAGGACAGGTGAGAAATTCTGCAACAAAATGTCACTCTGAGGAACTAATATGTCTCATCTGCCTGGATGATAATTATAAATGTGCATCCTGTTAAATCTCCTTATCTTGATTCAATTTGGTAGGCTATTGGGAGCCAGGTTAAGTTGCTTTGGGGTCTGAGCTGGCCACCTCTATTTTATGTATATTTTAGAGAAGTCTGACATTTCTATGGCGATGACAACAAAATTTTGTTTCTGATTGGCCACAATATACGAGAGACAGTTGGACACTCACATCTGACACTGAACATATGTCTGTACTGTAAACACTCTTGTTCATATGTTTCTGAGGACCTACTAATTTGTATGTTTTGCTGATTTGTGTACTGGTATTAGAATCCTATCCAGGATACTGATCAAAAGCAGAGCTGCAGTACTGGATCATTTCACTGGATCTTCTACATAGAAGTATAAAAATATACAAATTGCAGACCAAACATATGATATGCAGTTCTCAAAATTTCATATAGAATATATATATATATAACATAAATGTAAAATATATAATGGAACCTATATTTCCAATCTTTTGCTCTCATATCTCATTCATCCTTTTGATTCCTCCTTTTTCACAGAGAAAGCTTACAGCACTGCAGTATTACTGATGCAATTGCCACCAGTTTATTTTTCTGGGAGATATTAGCCTTCCAGGTTGTTAGCAGTGGTTTCCAGGGAGAGGCAGACGATTCTGCTAATGGCATTTCAGCAGCTTACCCAAGGCATGTATCCATAGAAGTCTGACCACTTTACTGGCTTGCTGTGCTAAATAAAATTAAATAAAAAAGGTGTTCTGTTCTTTGCCCCTGGAAATAGCTGCAAATCTTCTAAGCAATGAATAGAACTGAGAATCTTTAAAGAGATTTGTATATCACACCATTAAAAAATACACAAAGAAAATGAATGAAAATGTTCCTGGTTAAAAACTAATGTATTTCAAGGTGAATTGTGTAGGAAAAAGGAACCTTTAAAGCTGGATTAATGTGTGTGTGTGTAAGTAATATATATCATGGGAAGGGATGGAAACATTAGCCTTGTTCAGATGTCCTCAAACAGAATAAATATACACCATGGCTGGTATCATATGAGTGACTTACATAAGTGTAAATACAACTTATGTTTGTATAAGTCATTTTTATTTTTGCAAAGTCCAGACTTCTCTACCAACCTAAACTCTGCTCTGCCTGCCACAAGCCTGCTGCAGCCCTCCAACACAACCATTTTCTGGATCATGGAGAGCAGGAGATGGAGGAGAAGTGTCCAGATATGTTCCTACAGCTAGACTATAGGAATGACATTGTCCTAGCCCCCTTTGTACAACAAGGGAGGATCACAGCTGCATGGTTCTCTCTTCATTGGCCAGTCAATTTACATGTGGGGTGGAGGTCGGGCAAGAGGGAGAGTTGTAGCATGTAAAAGGTGGGGTTGTATGTGTGTGTGTGTAGAATGACATAATAGTTCTGCCTAGCAGAACTCAATGCTATCTCTTCCTGTTCTAAGAGCTAACCTATATGGGGAGGTCCATATTGGCCCTTGCCCTCAACATGTAAAAATAGGTGAAAATATTCCAGCCCATCATCACAAGAACCCCAGAAACCCAGAATACTCTCCAAATATGTGCTCCACAAATTGTGACATCAGTTACTGTTGCCATTTCAAGAAGGGCCAAAGAGAAAAATAGAGGTGTTTGGGCATGCTGTTGTGCATATATGTGTTTTCTATAGGAGTGGAATGAGAACTGGTCCTTGGCATTCCCTGCCTACTTCCAATGTTGACTAGAGCTAGGTCAAAACAAGTTAGAAGCAACTCAGTACTTGGTGATGATGGCACAAAAATATTACATTTGAAAATTAAAAAAATACCCAGAATCCTGTTTTTACCCTTTTTCCAGGGTCACACCATAGTGGTGAGGGAAGCCAAACAAAATCTGCTGGGTTTGAGGACCCTATTTCTCCTGTGCCTTATTTCCTTCATTGCTGTTGTATCCCTGACCTTTTCCTGATGCTGGTAGCACATTGATTATGGTAAATGATGTTGATTGGGAGCCTTGGGACAACTAAGCTTTCTGCTTGCTGTGTGCTTCAAATATTTTCTGACTTATAGCATCCAAAGGCCATGGGGTTTTCTTGGCAATATTTGTTCAAGGGGGGGGGGATGTCTTCACCTTTCTCTGAGGTTGAGAGAATGCGACTTACCCAAGGTTACCCAGTGGGTTTTCATGACAAAGCAGGGATTCCAACCCTGATCTCCAAAGCCATAGTCCAGTGCCCAAACCACTACATCACACTGGTTTTAAAGCTTTCTAGTTACATTCAAGCATTTTTAAAAAGGTACCTAAGGCTTTTTAATAGGCACTTTTGAGTTTTATGTCAATCCTAATATATTTTTTTTTAAAAAACAAATTAATGGAAAATATTTAATAACTGTGTTGGATCCTCATGCCAGGCTGGTCCCACAGTTCCTAATCTTTGGGCTCCTATCACATACCTTGCCCCTAGCCCCCTCAAGATTTCTCAAAGATTAATCTGCGAACCATCTAACCATTCACAGCTCTCCAAAACACTATTCACTTTTTCCTCCTGCGTCACTGTCCTACCTCTTATTACAGCTGTTCCCTATCTCTATGCCATCTCTCCCTTAACAGCCTTCCACCAGAGACAAACCTCAGTTTTGTATCCTTTCTGCCCCATAGACTCTGCTTCACAGTATTCCCTGAGCAGCAACTGATTGGCACCAGCCAGGTTTGCCAGCTCTTCCTTTTATAAGAACTCATCAAGGATAACATTCAAAGGAATGTCTAAAGCAAAAAAGAAGAAGCACAAAACAAAAAAAAACAAAAAAACAACAACCAACCAAACAAAGCAAAACAATGAAAAGCCCATCACTTTGTGTCATTGTCAGGTGCCTTCAAGTCCTTTCCAACTTATGGTGCCTGGGAATCTATCATAGGGCTGAGAGTGTGTGACTCACCCAACATTACCCAGTGGGTTTCCATGGCTGAGCTGGGAATCAAACCCTAGTTTCTAGAGTTGCAGTCCAGTGCTCAAACCATTACACCACACTGGCTCTCCCATCACCCTGTAGGTTCCTTTAACTCAGAGGTAGGCAACCTTTTTGAGCCGGGGGCCAGGTTGCTGTCCCTCAGACAATTGGAGGGCCGAAGCACCAAAAATAAATAAATAAATAAATAAATAAATATAAATAAAAATTAAAAAATGTAAAAACAATTTTAAAAATTTAACAAAAATATACATGCACACTCTCTCAGCCCCAGAAAAGCCATGGCAAACCCCCTGTGGAGATTTTGCCAAGAAAACCCCAAGAACAAGTAATAACAACAATAATCAATATTATCATGGTGGGCGGCGGCAGCGGTGGCAGCAGACTGGCGTGGGGCTGGTCCAAAGGCCTCGTGGGGCCGCATCCGGCCCCCGGGCCTTAGGTTGCCTACCCCTGCTTTAACTGAAGTTACTCTTTTCCAGTATCGCCCATGACTTAGGTGTTGGTAGATTTCTGGCACAACTTTTAAAGAGAGTGGAATGTAAATAGATAGTAGAATGCAAGACCAAAGTATCAGAGGATGCTACTAAATCTATATACAGTCCTCCTGTACCTTTTGGTGCTGGTTAGGGTTTACTGAGGGGAATGCTTAGATGTTAAAGGGGGTGCTTAACATTAAGAAATTCCTTACAGTTAACTTGTTTTCCCTACTACAATGGAATTTTCTCAGCATATTTATTTATTTATTTATAGTATGGAGATTATCTCATGGCCGGGCAAATGCAACCCATATGCAGCCCGGATCCTAGCAGTACTTATCCAGAAGCTTTTAAAAAACAGCAAAATCTTATTTTTAAAAAGCCACTGAATAATCACAGCTGGGATCCAGGTTGCATTCACCCAGCCACTTGCGAGGGCAATAACACCTAGTTTTAAAATTAAATGTGCCTTTATCCTGTTGGAGATAAGACACTTTAAAAGCAATGCAACAATCTCCTTCATCTCTGTCGCCTCCCAGTCCACAAGGGCTCCCAAGGTGATGAACAAATTAAAACCAATTAAAACAATACAATGACAAAAACATCTGTAAAATGCTTTAAAATATTCTTTAAAAACTCCTAAAAGCAGTTCAAAACCTATCCTGGAATCCAGTTTTGAAACAGTTAAAACAGCAATTTCAAACACTGAATGCCATGCAGAACAGCACAGAATGGGTCAGCCTAACCTCCTTAGGTAGGGCATTCCACAGTTGAAATGCTGCTACAAACTTGTAATTTGAGACTGTTTTACTTCCAATGGCCAATCACAGAACAAAGAAGGCTAAATGCAAGATAGATCTATGAGGAAAATAATATGCTATGACAAATCGATGTCCCTTACCACTTCAGGGAACATGGTACATTTATTCTCTAGTCTAACCCTGAGGAAAATAATACAGGGGATGTCTGACTGTATTGGACAGTTATGAAATCCTCAGTCATTGTTTGGTCTCTTTCTATCATTCAGCAGTTTGATCAGTTTCAGACAGGGTAATATAACATCGTGATTATTACTGAGGAGGTTGTAGAAAGCTTAAAAATCTAGTTCTTTCTGATACCTATTAACATTTTAAACAAACGAGATTCTGTTCATATGCTAATTTGTCCAGATTGGCTTAATGGTTAACTTTAAAAAAATCAACAACATGTCAAATCAATTTTCTTACATGCAGGATGCATTCCAGTCTTACATTATTTGCCTTAAATCCCCAGACTTTCTATGATTTCATTTCTCACCAGGGAAGGGAGATAATCTTAACTCAATTAGAATAAATAATAAATTTCTTTTAGCCCTGTCTGTAATTGGAAAATGGATCTGTGAAATAAGGAGACACAAGATGAAAGTTATTTGCAAAAGATGGGAAGGCTTACTCATCTGCTTCTGTTAAACAAATGATTCAGGATCCATCAGGAAATAGTATATAAATTTTTACCTGAGTTGCCATCTCTTTCTCTATTCCATACATTGCCAAAACAGACAGGTAACATTTTTGAACGTGTTGTCTTTCTGAAAATGCATCTTGCCAGAATCTACCATCTGGGCTCTCATCTCATTTTTTTGAACAGGTTTTTGAACATTTTTGAACAGGTTTCTTTCTCCTGAGACAAAGCAAGAGACCAAGGATAGATGGTGACATTTTGGGACTTGAAATGGTTTTTGCTTCCCCTAGTAACCCATGTTTTAGATATGGATGCTCCCCAAAACAACCTGACCAAAAAAAAAAAAAAAGGATCAAATTTTGGGGTCCAGAATGGCTTCTTGCTCTGACCTAGTGAAAAAAAAAGTGAGTTGGGCATGCAGATGGGCTTCTGGCTTTTACCAAAGAGAAGAATTACCTTATGAGAGAAGGTAATCTCCCTGAATGTGTTAAGTGGATTTTGGAATTTAAATGGACATTGTTATTTGCCTTAAGTTGTGGCATTCACCTTGATATCTCCTTGCCAAAAGCTGCAGAGTGACTGTTAGTATCTAGATTTGAGTCTTCTCCTTCAAATATATAGAATGAATTTGGAGGTTCAGATGGACTTCTATCTCATCCTAGTGGATAGGCATTTGGTTTTACCAAGATTGTAGGCACATTTTATGATGTGAATGGATACCTTCCATTGTCAAGTGTTGTGCATGACATTTGTAATCCAGCTGGAAGGCTATTCTAGCCATTGGTAGAAGGAAGATGTTTGTTTTCCTTGGGACTGTGTTTCTCTCAAAGATGTCAGCTACATCTAAACCAGCCTTTTAATTCACTTACTTCATTTTATCCTCTGCAAACATCCCATTTCAGAATGCCAATGGAAAATATCCCTAGGGAAAAAGATAGAAATTCAGACCCAGCAGGGCCTTTTCTTCTATTTTTCTGCTGGAATTAAGGAGTTTCTAATGAAAATGTGGAGGGCAGATTATCATATTGCATCTATGAACACAATTGAATAAATCAGATTGTTGACCCCAGCTTGATATGTTGCCACTCTTTGGTAAGCAACTTTTACTTATACAGTATTATCAAGTGACTTCCACATCTTCAAACAATAAGAGAAGGTCAAGGCACAACACAATTGGACTCTTGGTTTTCTCCACAGGAGAGAATGCTAGAAACTAGGGTTGGATTCTGGCTTAGTTATGCTTTCAAAATACTCATTGAAAAAAATGGTCATGATTTACTTCTCCAACTGTTTTCAGTGAATCTGCTGTAAGTGTTATCATTTCTGGATCAAATCCACACAGCAATTTTGTTGTTGTTATTTGCCATCAAGTTGGCTTTGAATATGGCGACCCTATGAATGAGACACCTCCAAGAACCATGGTCTTAAACGGCCACTCTTTTCTTGATTTAGCAAGCATTATCATCCAGTTTTCCCAGACTTATTGTCTTTTCCAATAAGTCATGTTATTTTGTGATGCACCCAAAGCATGATAACCTCAGATGGCAGAATGTATCAAACCGAAAGTGGGATTAGACTCAGACAAAGCAGGCATGAACTTTGGAGGAAGGAACATGAACAATTTAACATATGCAGATTACAACATATTACTAGTAGAAAATAGCAATTACTTGGAATGTCTATTGATTAAAGTTAAGGAATAAAGTACCAAAATTAAGTTGCACTTGAATATTAAGAAAGCAGTTATGTTCTCTTTGCTGTATTTACAGATAGAAGTAGGCACAAGAAGCATATTCTCCTAGCAGGAAGCAGCTATATATTGCCTATCAAATTTTCAGAGGGAAGTATCCTGCACTTAAAATTTCCAGCCTTCAGCTAACTCTGCAGTGCATTTGCTTCTTCTGTCTTTGTTCGGAAATTGATCTTTTTGTTCCTTTATGAACACAAATACACTCACTTTACATTTGCCCTGTCTGCTTATCTCAGTGTTAGGCAAATGAATTGGATCAGCAGTCGATCTTTTAGCCCTATAGCCCCCTGTCCAATGTAGGTTCATCTTCAATGAATGGGAAGTGATGTCATGTCGTTACTAGTTTCATTTTCTGTGAAAATTGGATGTTTGCATAGGGCTAGGTTGAGAAAAATCACCTAAAATCTCTGCATTTGAAGTCTCTGAAGTTGAAATAGGGGCTATTTTAGCATGATTTTTCACCCCCCCCAACATTTTTGAATTTGTTTAGGATTGGGGTTTTCTGGGGATGGCCTGTGGGTATGGATGCTACTAAAATGGGGTTGCATGTAGCCCATGGACTACACCTGACCCAAACTTTGTGGATGAAATGTGCTCTCTTCCATGCTTTGTAGCCTTTCCATTCAAATACACAGTTAAGATTGGCAATTTTCTTTTAATAGTCATCTCACATCTAGAGAGATATCAACTAACAATTCTCAGCCATTAAGAACTTTACTACCTCTGACCAGTAGTTGCTTTTCCACTGTTTGCTGCAGGTGAAATTGCAAAGTCACGGTGACAGGTCTCTTCCCTGCTATCAAAAAGCAAAGCCATTGCCATATGTAATTAATTTTCCATGCGTAACAGCAGTACTGGTGCATGTAAAGAAGCACCAGTATTTATACTTCTTCTAAATCAGTGTAGAAGTTCTTAGAATTCTGCTCAGTCCACCTGAGCTGGTGACCAAGATCAATTATTTAAAGTTATTTGTCAGAACCCCAACATGCAGTTGCTGAATGCTTTAAAAATGCTTTACTTTTTCTCCTGACAATTACTTTTCCTTCACTGCATGCATGCTGCTTCCTCATTGTGAGGTTGCTTGGGTGGCCTTGAACTGTAATCTTACATTATTCTTAAAGAACAAATCACTGAAGCATTTGACATGAAATTAAAACCTACTATGTTCTATCTTGGATTTGCATACTGATGAGAAAGGGGGACATGTAGTAGGTCATTCAAGTGGCCCTACTAGTTTTGTCAGCATTATTTTAAGACTAGCAGAAACAAAGACAGCATGTATTAGAGTTAGCAACCTTTGTATATCTATACCAGGGGTAGGCAACCTTTCCCCTTTAAGGACCGAGGGACTTCAGCTCCCAGAAGCCTCAGCCATGTTGGCCAATAGTCCCATGTTG